CCACCCCCTTGCCATCGAGGAGCTTTCTCACCACCTCAGTGACCTCAGCACCAGAGATTGGAGAGTCTAACCCAAAGTCCCCAGACACTGCTTCCTCACTGAAAGACATGCCGGTGGGATTGAGGAGATCTTTGAGGTACTCTGCCCACCAATCCACAATGTCTCAAGGCTATAAACAGTGTTGGTAGAACACTGCTTTCCCCTCCTGAGGCGCCGGATGGTGGACCAGAATCTCCTCAAAGCTTTACAGAAGTCTTGCTCCATGGTCCCACCAAACTCCTTCCAAACCCGGGATTTTGCCTTTGCGACCACCCGAGTCGCATTTTGCTTGGAATGCCGGTACCCATCAGCTGCCTCTGGAGTCCCACAGGCCAAAAAGACCCGATAGGACTCTTTCTTCTGCTTGATGGCATCCCGTTGGTGTCCACCAGCGGTTAGGGATGGGTTGCCACCAGCTCTGGTCTTCTGCCACAACAACGAAAGCACGGAACATGGCCCACTCAAACTCAATGTCCCCCACATTTTGGAAGCTCTGGGAATTGAAACTCCTGAAATATTTCGTTGGATGTTTCCAACAGACCCCCCACAATACGTTTGGGCCTGCCAGGTGTGACAGGCTTCCTCCCCCACCATTAAAGCCAACTCACCACCAAGTAGTGGTCAGTTGATACCCCACACCCGAGGGTCCAAGACATGCGGTCGCGGATCAGATGAGACGACAACAACGTCGATCATCGAGCTGCAGCCGAAGGTGTCCTGGTGCTAAGAGCACACGTGGACACCTTCATGTCTGAACATGGTGTTCACTATGGACCGTCCACGAGGAGCACATCCAATAACAAAACACAGCTCCTCAGCGAGGACATGGGAGGAGTTTAGTGAACAGGAAACAGTTTAACGGTTACCTCGTTCCGTTACGTAGACAGAATAGATGGAAAATCTGTTGCAGGTGAAATCAGCAGCTGTAGCTGAAGCTTGTGTAGCTAATCATGTTCACTTGAAACAACTCTAGTTTTTGATGTCATAATCAAATCATTTATAGTAACGGAGCGTCTGAAACCCGTTTGGGTTTCAAAGGTGAGCTAAACTCTGAAGTTCTGAGCAGGTAAAGTGAGTTTCATGGTGAGAGAGGTTCTGAGCCACAAACTGACAGAACCGCCGGGCTCCAAGCAGATCTGCGTATTTCAGTAAAAAATAAAACGCTCTTTACTTCATCATTAACCTGTTCAGGTAACTTCTGAACGTCACAATTTGTTTTAAATGCTTAACATGTTCATTCTGGTCCAGTAAAAAGACCCGGGAGTGGCGTAAAACGCTGGTAATAAACATGTAATAATCAGTAATAATGAATGGGCAAACAGCCAAGCAAAACCCGACCCGAGGGTTCTGGGTGGGTTCAGACCTTTTACTAAACACGAGACTCCGTATTTTCTCCTACGAAGAAACTCAGACAACTTCCTTCATTCCTTCACAATTAGAGTCCAACCTTAAATCTTCTGAAGTTTATAAAGTTTGTTCTCTTAAAATTCAGAAACCGTTTGGATTGCTGGGGAGTTGTTTTAGGGATGGGTTCAGATCCAGTAGAGGTTGAAAAATACAATCGTTGTAGTTTAATACCAAAAAGAATTATGGGTAATGTAGTACGACTAAACTACCAATCTAAGTGAAGTATCAAAATAGCAGTTTTATTCCTAAAATACAACGTTCGCCTTCTGCCTGACACCTCCCGTCGGGTTTCCCCGGAGCGTCCTGACCGCGCTGCCGTCAGAAGCATCATCCGACGAAGGATTTTAATGTTTACTTAGAGATGAAAAACGGTAAATCCGTTCTGAGAAAATATCCTAAAATCCTTCATAAATAAACCATTCAATCATCCACGAGTGCTCCAGCGGTTTTCAGCCATCACCGGTTATAACACCATCTCCTGGTAGAAGCGAGTCATTATGAATTATTACATGGTTATTAACATTAAACTACGGCCCTGTTATCATGTCTTCATGCCAAGTTTTTAAAAGCGAGAACTCCAGTTAAATAAAAGTTCTCTTCAGCTGAAAACTGAATGTTTTTGCTGTTTTGATATAAAAATTCAAACACAGGGTATCTGCAGGTTTAAGGGAGCCAAATTTAAGACTTTTTAAGACATTTTTAAGGCCACTTTGGCCAAATTTAAGCTATTTAAAAAATTTAATTTAAGCTCTAATTTCCAGCTATTGCCTGGAACCGGTGCTAACCACATCGCGAACGTGGGATTAGCCATCCAGTTAGCATTAAACTTCCCCATGGCGCAAGCGCCCACTAGCTTAACCAGCTAATGTGCTCATCTAAAAATAGCCCCCTTTCACAACCAGCTGAATGTGTACGGTTCCGCTTACGCCAACATCGTACACAAAAAATGCTGAACACTAACTAGAAATTCACGAAATTTTTATATAAATAAAATAATCTTGTTTAGTGGGTCTTTGGTCATTTAAGACCTTTGGAAACTGTATTTAAGGATTAT